GCAATGAAATACTTTCCGTGCGAGTACTGGTGGAAAATTTTCTTGGTCTCTGTCGTGCATCCGAAAATCCATCAGATCTATTGGTAAGGAAACGGACTTCATCTGTAGACCCCGTCATCGTAGACATTCATGACTATTTTCGGTTCTGAATTGCCTGTTGTCGCCATCTACTACCTTGGAACCATCGTCATTTGCGGCGCGACGTCGCGCGACGCCACCAGCGCGGTTCTTGAGAGGAGTGCGGTATAATTTGAGCTCTTTCTGAATGAAAGGCAGGAGTCTCATTATGTACTTCAGCTGAGGAATACTTTTTGGACGTTTTCTACAAAATTGGTCAATGTGAACTATCGACCAATGTGCAGTTCTGACGTGTCTGAACTAAATTCGGCATTCCTGTGACATCTTTCGCATTGTGATCGTTCCACTGGTTCTTGGCACAGGCACGTCGTACCCTGGGATACCTAGCGAAACCGTATTTGAAAAAGGGTTCTCACCTGTAGACCTTTCTCAGTTTCCCGTGCTTCACGTGCGTTGTCCCCCTGCTCGAAGAAGTTATGGGAAAAACTGGAGAATTTTCGGAAAAACCTGGAAAAGTGGTAGGAAATCGGGAGTGTCAGGGGAGGAATCTTAGGCGGAGGATTCCTGCTTCTTAGCTGAACGTACCCTTCACAGACCAATTAAAATAAGAAGTTTCTGGTGAAGATGGCGAAATTAACATTGTTATGACTGGTACAGTACCATAGGAGATGGCACTGTATTCACAAAGTATTCCGGGACTGTGTGGGCCGGATACGTCATGCAAGTTTTTGCTGACTAGAGCGATCACCTGCTCGGAATGTCCATCCAGGGAAGGTATAGACGTTGGGTAGAAATTTTGCAAAGTAGGACCTCTCCGCTTAGAATTCCTCCTCTGACAATCTCAATTTCCTACTATTTTTCCAAGTTTTTCTGAAAATTCTCCAGTTTTTCCCCTAACTCCGTCGAGCAGGGGGACAACGCACGTGAAGCTTGGGAAACTGAGAGAAGTCACAGTCGAGAAGATAAACACGAATTCCCTGAGTATCCCAGTAATCGACGTGCCCGTGTCCAAGAACCAGCGGACGATCACAATGCGAAACATGTCACAGGAACGCCGAATTTAGATCGAACGTTCTGACTAACGCACGGATGTGTAACAAGAGAATCGTAATTCGCCGCGCTAGTGGGCGTCGCGTGCGACGTCGCGCCCGCTAATGACGACGATTTTAGGTGGTATTGGTCGAGAATAGACAATGTATGACCAAAAATAGACACAAGTGTCTACCATGTCCTTGTCTACATGTAATCCGATGCTTTAAAAAAGATAGTTCAAATTGAGGAAACATCATCACGAAACATTGCCACGCGTTACGAAGCGGCAATTTACGATTCTCTTGCCCGTAACGCACGAGCTCACCCTCCACGCTTAGCGCCTAGCGTTCAGCATTTGTGCAGTAACTCTGCCATCAGTTCTGGAGAACGAAAATAAACCTTTCATAAAGGTCCATGAGGAAAATTCGGAGCGATTGCAGTGCAACAGCCGCGCAGCATGATAGCACCAAGAACAAGAAATACTTGGAATGGCACAAAAGAGTAACCAGATTGATACCAGTGGATAAAATGTATCTATCTCTCACATAAATCTCTCTTTATTTTAGCATTTTTACAATGCAAAACCTGAACGTCACATGACTTGCTTGAAATATTAACATTAAAGGCATCACATATCGAGAACATGACCAGAAATTGCAATGATAGAACTACTTTGGATGGTTTAAAGTCTGTATTAGTGAGGATCTATGCAGGAATGGAGCTGTTTGGCTTAGAGGAGGCATGGACCCCTAGATCGACCTGTTAATTCATGTTAACTTACAGGTTTCGCTTTGGTCAGACCCGTAAACTTCTGTGAAGCTGCGAGTGGACCATTTTGCTCACAGTAATTGTGCCTTATAGCCCTTAGTGCCCCTACCAAGCCGAACTTCTCCTCGAGGAATGAGCGTACGATGAACTCAACGTTATCGTTAAACGAAAAGTTAGAAGATTATAACCATCTGTAGATGATCTGCTTGCGTAGAAGGGGACATGCACTTAGAAGCTACAATCCACCCAACAGGTAAAGTGGAATCCCTAGATAGAGTTCTGTATCAGTGCATAGCTATACAATCACAAATACACAACAAGCTCAACGGAGGCAAATGAAAAACAAACAGACTTCCCATTATGTAAATGACGGACATCAAAAATAAACACAAAATAAATGCCATGTGAAAATGTAAATAGATACATCTTTAACATTCATTTACGTGATCACACGTCGCCGAGTACGAACCATTTTGGGTGTCCTGGATCTTCTTCATCAATTTCACAACATTCATTGTTGGGACTAAATGTAACGTTTAGCATAATGGGACAGTAAGAGAGAATTCACCATTTTAATTAAGATACTCTAAAAAGGATGAAGCGGTTCCGGTGCAGATGAACCCCTTTCGGGATCTGTCACACATTCTAGTTGTATTCAGGACTTTAGTGTCCTTTTGAGTGTGTCCTGGCGTGCACAAGGACTTGCTAGGGCCAGTCAAAGAGCACCTTGGCGTCATCATCCGCCCGAAGCCAAAGCCACTCGGAAATTCAACGAGGCTGGCTAGGCGACAAAAATTGGTGGAAATCGACTGATACGAACGATATGATACAGACTTCTCGCTTTCTTCCTTCAATAACTGGTGGAAAACGGTTTTGGCGCCGCACCCTCCCTCCCCCTCCCCCCTTCATCCGCAGCAAACGAGCTTGTAAGAGAAAGATACTCACAGTAACCAAGTCCTTGTAAAAACAGCATCATGCTTTCCGTCACTACTTCTGGGCGGTCGTCCAACACAAGACCACATGCATCAGAGACCTGAAGAAGCACTTCGTCTGCAGCAGCATCATAGAAAAATGCAAATAACAAACGTTATGTTCACTAGATACATTGTATGGCATCAAAAATGCAAAAAGTACAGCCATCGAAAGCTTGCATAATTTTCCTGCCAATGAAACCACCACAAATGTTTAATTTCGATTCCGTTAAGGATGGATGCAAGATCTAGATATCTAAGGGCAAGAATTGACCCAGTAAGAGCGAAACTAGTTCTAGGGATTCAGTGACGGGTTCTCATGTTAGTCTCAATACTGTGTGGAAACCTCAAGTGAGAAACAATGGACTCACTGTGCACTTAGCAACTGTCTGGACATAGAACTTGCGTTTCAGAACCTACCTTGATCCAGTCCGAATGCGCAGGATCCAGTTTCGTGTTTACTTCCACTGTGTCGTTCACAAATGGGCTTCCAGCACCAACAATCTGCAGTACCGGAACGTTCAGTTGAGGACCACTTTGACCGTCTCGCGATATAGCAATGGCAGTGCGGCTAAAAATCTTAATTATAGATGAAATATCAACCTGGATATCATCAGCCTCAGAATGTAGTAGAATGGGCTATAAGCACCGACTTTTACAACAAAACTAGTGAAAATCTCTATATCATGCTGGAACTCCCTGCGCCTCAAGTTTATGAGGAGCTCTGAAGTTTGGAATGACAACCCACTGGCAGATCGCATTTATCTTTGGCTTTTCGGGCTCCGCCAAACAAAAATGTAAAACCGAAATGTAAGACGAGTAAGGTTGCGTTAATGTCCCTGGCTGTGATTCAAAAATACACCAAAGAAGAACCCCCCACCACTCCCCAACTTTTACAACCCCTCCCAGCGGCCCAAATACGACCACTCCCAAATGACTCCAGAGCGTTGTTAACTGAAGAACAACGTTGACAGAAGCACTCACTTGACATAGGATTCGATGAACATTGCCAGATTTGTCGGATTTGGTAGGTGCTGGAAGTATACGCGATACTGACGCACGATGTCTGGGCTACATTCGTCCAAGCGACGTCCAAAATGATGCCACATGAGATAGTCAACTGTGAAGGTATTCATTCCCGTGCCACGTAAATAGCGGAGGTTCATCTGAAATTGAAAAAAACTAACTCATGCACTCCGGTGGTGGAAAAAGACAGTTATTTGCCAGTAACTGCGTGATGCAGAGCTAGCTGCACCGGCGCTACAATGGCAATAAAAGGCCTTATTGCTGAAGTTACGTGCAGGAGGATTCTAAAAATGCGGCATAGAAAACAAATCAACTCCACTGTTCATATAAACCAATGAAATCGCGTACTTCACAAAACCCGATGAAACTGCGTAGTGATACAAATTTACAGTCAAAAAGGCGTCAGGTTAGTTCGAGGAGGGGGAGGGTAGCATGGGCAGCGCTAATGTATCCTTCTCTTATAGTAGTACATCATCGGATTGGGAGGAAGTTGAGGTGTCAGCACAACCCTCATGGCAAGTTCCTTGCCTGTTGTTCAGACCTCCTGTCCCACCTTACTTGCGATCTTGCCAAGTTCTTCCAGCTCCCCACCCACGTTCCAAAAAATTTTCCACTCTCCCCAAAGAGGGACGTCGAGCGGGGGAGGTGTGGCCCTCCAGCCGACTATTAGCAACAGTAGGTGTACCCTGCGGCCCACCAATTGGGGTGGTCAGCAGCAGCACGTTTGAAACGCAAAGGTCAACTACTGGAAAAACAATCACTCCCACGAATCGGAGAAACTTGTTCCAAGACTAGATACGACCTCCTCCCACCAACCGCGACGCCGATGTGACTCTCCCATAAATGCTGTATCTGTTCCCTTAACCAAAGCATAAGCATACAGCGCAAACACCAGAGACGAATTCACAATATCACAGGCAGCGTTTACGCTTCGCGACCGCAGATACTCGTTCGCGCGTTCGTGACCGGCGAGCTCTTCGGGTCGCGCCGTTCGAGCGATCGATGCGCATGCTTTCTACGGCATCGACTGCGCCGACGCGCAACCGAAGCGCTGCCGTCGCGAGGTCTGAACGCTGCCTTACAATTCTGGCTTTAGAGCTAGGATCTCTGGCGAAGGAAGTCCAATAATCCCTTCGAAAGTTTTTTTTTTGTCCCGAGGGATACGGTTGGCTACTGCAAACGCCTATAGTCCTAATCATTGAATGGTTCGACCGGTCGGCTTCACGGCAACAGAGATCTAGGTGAGCCTATGTAAACATCGGCCGATTTAAGTCAACGACATTTAGGGTGTTTTACTGGTCTACACACCAGACGACAAGCTCGCCAGTATTGCCTCTTATTGTTGAGGAGACTGATCTCAACTGTTTCACGACTTTTCAGGCTCCGAAGAAGGCGAAGAAGTCAAATGCTGGCCTAATAAAGGAGTGACAACTTTCTGGATTTCTTTTTTTTTCGTTCTTACTAGCGCTTTATACTACTATAGACACGCACACTCTTCGCAGCTAGTACCGAGGACGAATGGTCTTTATTTGACACCCTTTCGTCACGCTCGTATGCAATGAGTACTGCTACACAGAGGCGCGCTTCCTCTCATCTTCGCTAGCGTCCCGAGAAAACGTCAAATTTGAATGAAACTGAAAAAAACGCTCACCTTCTGGTATGCCCATTCATCCAGCCGAGCTTTGTATGTGCAACATCAGATTCACAAGGAACAAAGCATCACAATCGGCGTTGGTTCATAAGCTGGCAATAGAAAACTTGCACGGTTTTTTGGGCTCCTCTGTCACAGTATGACGACTAATCATGATCCACAAATCTCAAACTAACCATCCTATGAAGTTACCCAGCGATCAAGTCATTGTGGTAAACGGCTCGATCGTTCCCCGGGTAATTATCAAAAACTATCTCAAATCAGAATCGACATGAATGAAGATTCTTAAACTCAATTTGACCCGGCCTGAGAGTGCGAATTACCGTAAGCACTCAAGGTCGATGAATCCTCTCCTAGGCAGTGTTGTCTCCGAATGGAACCATAACACTTTGAACACTTGTCTGACTTAAGCCCACGTTGAAAATTTGACGATGATTACCCACTTGTTGTCAAGGAAGAATGAGCTTTTGACCCCATTCTCCGGGAATTGTTCAGATTCACCAGAGATGGCTGCTTCCATTTCTATTTTCAGAACCACTATCAGCACTTTCTTTCTCTTCCTCGATCCTATGACTAAGATGAAGTAAACTAACCGCATATCTGAGAAGTACATTGGCTCCAACGCCGACACCAAAGGCAATGACAGATTGAAGCCTACAATGACGAAATAAATCATGGAAATGAAGATAGGTTGTAAATGAAACGATATTGGAGCATGACGATTGAAAAACCTCTAGAATGGGGCCGTGAAACACCTAGTACACCGCCTGAGGAGAACGTACTCATGTTTCGTCTGGAAATCGAAAACGAAAAAAGCGCAAAGCAAACGCTGCCAGCCGCTAAAACAATAACAATCTAAGGTTCTTGCAAGCAAATGGTGCTGCTCAAATGCGAGCCGGCTTAACATACCAATACACTACTGTGAGACGGTAGATTCCTACTGAAAAAATCGTGAGTGTTACTGCAAAAAGCTATATGCACCTGGTTTCAATCCATTAATTACTAAACATTCTTGGGGACCATATCCGCATAATATTAAAAAACTTACTCATAAAAGTCAACGACGGTTTCGACAATTTTCGCAAGTCCATCCATAGATGGATATATAAATCTGAAGAAGGCAAACATGGCCACGGTCCAGAATGAAGGATAAAAGCAAAGCGATCACTCACGTGTCTGGGAGTGGTTGAGCATCTACTTCCTGCCCCGGAGCATTAATGTTGTAAATACAAAACTTCTCTGTGAATTCAGCAATCGAAACAAATTGGAAGAAGTTTTGAAAATTGCTGTCAGCTGAAAATTGTAAACCTAGGTCGTTATATGGAACCTTCTGAATGTCGACGATAAGTTCAATCACCAACGGGAGATACCGTTTGCAGAAAGGGAACGCTAACGGTATTTGGGGGAAGGCACCCAATATAGCGCCTCGCATACCTCTTTTTGCCCTTTCGAGTTCGGGCTTGAAAAACCAGATTTACGGGTTCTCGACAGCAGGCAGAAAGCACGGCTTCTCCCATTGCCAAGCATCGGAAAGTCCATAGAGTAAACTGAATAGAAGTGGAATGGGAGAAGTTTCCGCGACGGGAGGGGCCATTTGCAGCTTTCGCTACTTCCCATCGACGTGTCGAGCCATCTGGAGAGCTATTTCATGAGCTTACAAAGAGCCGACAGGTTTTGCCATGGTGGCTCGACAAGCTTGCTCCAGTTTCACAAAAGTTGGACTCTCATCATAGTGGACCTGGTAAACCGGGAATAAACGATCAGCGAAAGTGTCAAATGCCCCCTCCCCCCTCCCCCCCTCCCCGCTCGGCCGAACGTTCGAGTGAAGGTGGGAGGGCACTTCCACAAATGAAGGACCGAGCAGCAGAAGCGCGCATGGAATGTCTCTTTACCCAATATGTTAGCATCAGCTAAAAAATGGCAACAACAATCCATAAAGGTGTTTCAAGTGATGCAAAGCAAAAAAAACTTACAATCAAGTGCAAGGTCGTGAAATGTGATGAGAGGATGTTTACTGCGATTCCCATAGATTGATATTTTGACCTTTCCATATGCAGTATTAATTCGTTCCTTAAAAACCTAATTTAACATTATTTAACAAGAGTAAGACTACAAAGACAAGCTCATAAGATTCGACAGTACAGATCCATAGTACGCAGTCATAAGAACGGAGTTTGTGTTGTTTTAGCACACTGATGAGATGACACCAAGACAAGGTCCCCCCCCCGGTCTGACCACACGGAGTTCCACATCGGAGATGCCATTTCCGCGGCCGCATCAGGCATCGTACCGGTGTTCTATGCTTAGGAGATAGCGAATTAAATGGACAGACAGCCACTAGTGGCTGTTTCTGTGCGCTGGTGGTGTTTTCTGTGCCTTTGCTGCCAACAATGAATCTCGCGACCGAAACTTGAACGCCCTGAAGTTCCTAGCTTCCTGGTGACAACGTTAACATAGGAGTTTGTTGCGTAGTAAAAAGCGCAGAAAAAGTCCGGTAGTCCCGAGCGCCCGATGACTCTGAAGTGGGGAGGGGGTCGTCATTTGAGAGACTCCTTGTGCGAAACCACAATTACTGTAATGAAGATGACAGCTTGCGCCTCAGCCTAAACAGGAAGGAGCTCCGGGTAGGTGAACCAACTCCATTCAGATGATATTGATCCAAGTTCTGCTCGAGTGGTCCTTTAAATGGTTTCAATCGTGGTTATTAGCGCCTCAGTCCCTCCAAGGCTCTCACACTGTACATTGTTCATTTCCCTACCCTCATACAGTTCTCCGTTTCCCCTGCTTGAAAATTTCGACGTTTTCCAGGAAAAGTTCCCCCAGTACTGAAGCTGTAAGAAATAAGAGAAAAACGCTGCAGTGAAAGTAGTTTTTAAGAAACCACGTGATGAAGCAGTCGTAACATATGGTCAAAGGGCATAATGTTACAGAAAAAGTAGTGCAGAGATATCAGACAACTGATAAGAGGAAAAAAGTGTTAAAGAAATTAGGACTGACTACTAGCGGAGAAGAGGGCACGCAGGGGAGACATTTTTAGAAAGGAGAATTTCAGGCAAACAATATGAGTGGAATTTTGCAGTGGAATTTTCATTACGAAAACGATAAGCTCGATTGCCAGACTAGAGAAAAATTGGCCATGGCCCAAACTTCTTCCAAACATTATCTGAAACTTTTTTGCCCATACCTGGAGCGATCTGATTTCCATGAACTTCTATGCCATTACCACTAGGGATACTACCCCTCCAACTAGCTGTCACTCTGGCCCAAAAAACGAGGCTAGGATACAGGCATTTTCGTGCAAAGCAGTGCACAGTGTTTAACAATTAAACTTCAGTAGATTGTCGGACGGCCAAAAATCCTATCCAAAACGCTGTCAACCGCACGGTAGTTCACAGTGATGCCGCACATCCCCAAGTCCGTATCGCCAACCGTTAAACTCTGATGAATTACAGAAAGAAGAGGCGCAGTTTGGCTTACTGGGGGCACCAAGTGTTACTCATCAAGCCTGTACAGGTCTCTTCGTGAAGACCTGTAAATTCTTGTAACCGAAGTGGCTCACTTGTACCGCTACGCAGTTCCACAAGAATTTACAAGTCTCACTAAAGCGAGAATTGTTAGCTGACATGAAATAGTAGAAGGAACAGGTGAAAGCGCCAAATAGCCCCTCTAAGCCGAACAGCGATACAAGGTTGTTATTGCGTGGGCGTGTATTTTCTTTCCTAGTGATATTTTTAAGAACGACATTTTTTAGAGAAACGTTGCTGAGAGGTCTATGTTCTAGAAGTTTTGGTAATTTTTTGGTTTTGTTTCGAGAAAACTCAATAAACTGGATTTCAACAGAAATTTTTGAAGTGGCCGTCTTAAATGGTTTTGGCACTGCAGTGGAAAGCGGCACCAACATTTAGTTTCCTTTTTCCCAGTTCTCTATTAAATGACGAATCTGAGAAATGGGATTGACAATCAAAGTAACAATGATCACCAGCGGGGAGACGCTTTGAATATTAGGAGTTAGGGTTGGATTTCCTCGCCAACAGCGCTTCACGAACAAAATGGCACTGACATGGGGCTACTATCGGTATTGTCATTATGAACATACTGATTGCCAGTGCGACTTACACCTGCTCACCGAATTATCAGGCTGGTTTATATTTCAGTGGAACAAGAGCTTTAGGGAGCTATCCTTGTCACGGGAGCACCCTTGCGGGTAAAATCATATGTGCGAAAGTGGTTACACACCTCGTTACAAGAACTCCTGTTCCAGAGTTCCCCTAGGTCGGAGGTTAGAGACGAAACAAACCATCTATCGTATTCCCTCCACATTTATTTTCTAAGTGGTGGAAAATCCTCATCTCCCTGGCTCAAAATCAGCTCGCTTGAAATGTGCCCCACATAGCACGAACAGGACCAAATTTTATGATACTGAAGTGAAAGGGAAGTCCACATGGAACCTGGGTACTTCTGTGAAGGATTTTAATCCATGAAGCTGATTCGCGTCTTTTTTCCAGACCAAACCTCCAGAATCGGTTCAAAATTGGAACTAATAAAGGAAATTGCACTGTCCTTCTACATTGTCGTCGCTAGTTCGCCACGTTCTGAGTACTGCTGTGATCGTACGACAACCTACTGGTTTGCACCCGAGGCAATCGAAACTAGCGGAAACATTTTGTTCTTCTACGACCCGTCAGCAAAAGTCATTTACTGTACACAGTCTTGTGGCATGAGCCAAGGCGAAGGACATCCAGAACAGGTGGAGTTCACATGCAGAGACTTAGGAAATGACGTGGATACGAAGCTCATATAGGTTTGTTCGCTGCGGAGGGATATGTAAAGCAGGGAATTCGGCGCGGCGCCAATCCCTTTTTGCACCATTTGTGGACCGAGCAAGCGAAAACACAGTACAATATGTTCGTATCGTCACTTCCCACCAATGTTGCCGCTTTACTCGTGCCCGTACACCGGTAGGAAAAGGCGGGTTTGACACCCGCGCTCAAAAACAAATCCCGCCTGACACGCCTCTCCATCCACAATGACCACGGCTGTAGCTTTCAAAAGCCCCTTGTAAATTGGGATAATTGCTATCCGACGAAGATTTGTCTTGCGCCATTAATCCTCTACCGGACAAGCTTCTTCGCAAAGCGCAAAACTTTTTAGGCAACTTTAACAAAATTGTGGTTAATTAACAAACCTCGACCAGGTCTGGAACCTGATTGTCCAGTAGTGGATCACGAGTGAACGAGTGCATTTCCATAGAAGCCATAATTAGCCTCTGAAAACATAAATTATAATATAAACGATTTGAAAATAACGCAATAAGCTATTTCAGGAGGATGCGTGGCATTTTCTTTCAATATGACCCCCTCTCCGTAATATTCGTCGAGCAGGATGTCGTCTCATTCGGTATCGCCGACTATGAAAAAAAAATGAGAAGTCTCAAAATTGGTTGCTGCTCGGCTCAAAGAAGGATGGGACATTTTTGCGGTTTCACTAGTTACTTTGCTAGTTCCTGCCGTTTTACATGTCTCACCGTGGTAAGACCCTGCCCACTAGATACGAGGCTCACGCTATTGCATATCTTCGCAGGAGCACACAGGTGTCCATGAGACATCAGTAGTGATCGACGCGAATGAGCAAAATGCCCCCACCAGCCGAACTGCCCCTTGAAGTCATAACCATCCCTTTCCTTTGCCGCCGAGTTAACCTTTAACTGCATTGTGGATTTCACAGTGATTATGTGCCTTACTCTAACATCCCCTCCCACTAACTAAAAATATATCCCCTACGAAACAACAACTGAATTGGTCAAGGCCTCACAGATAACAATATTTGAATAGAAGCTTGCAACCAGAACCAAGGTGTATTCATACATCCGGGCGGGGCACCCAAGCAGTAGAGGAAATTATCTCAAGAAATGAAACGAAAAATAGATGAATGAAGCTGAAAACTAAAGACGAAGCTGTGTGCACTTTTCTTAATGAAGTGGGAGCGCACTATCGATCAAAGAACACGCGTTTGTTGCATTATAGGTTACGGTAGACGTGAGTGCAAAGCCGTAATCACGGGAAGCACCCTAAATGACGAGGTCAGCACAAAACATTGCGTTGCTAAGGAAGGTGCAGGACGTAATGACGTTCCACATACTTGATGGCTGACTACGTACGAAATCGATTGCATTAGAATTGGGGCATAAAATGCTGCGACATTTTCTTCATGCCTGCATTTACTGAGAAACTCTCGGGGAACATTTAAGATCGATCAGGACGATTCGTTGGCAAACTCTTCACTGGGGTGCGGACGAGTTTTCCACGCAGTGAAATTCTCAAGCTTCTCTCCATTTCTTGCTTCTCAACTACAGGGGCCATTTGAGGAACTTGATTTATGGGGAATTGTGAACATTTCCAAGATTGCTCTATTCCTTAAAAGAATCCTGGCTCTCTCTCTCTCGGATGAAATATAGCATGAAGCAGTTGAGCAGTGAAGCAGCAGCTCCAAGTTTGTTTGGGCCTTTCAGACGGCGTTACTCATTAATATGGAAATGAGCCTGTACCCTGCCTCGCTATCGAATATATAGATTTGCATGTAAAAGCTTTTTACAAAGCAAGGGAACGCAACTGCGTCATTAGCGCTCCCCCCCCCACCCCAGCGCGATTTGACTTGAGGGCCATATCAATGTAACAGCGCCTCTGCGTATCGACTGCTCATCACCCCAGTCAACTTGTACTGCGATGTCACGATGGATGGGAAGTAACGCTCCACACCCGGCGTGCTCCTTCACTTATGATGATGCGCGAAAAGGCGCAAATGGCATGGTCCGGCTCCGCCCATATGACCGAGCGCATAAATATTCGTTGTCAAAAAACGGGAGTTTTCCAATGAATCAAATAATTTCCAGTGCGTCCTTCAGAACTCATTTTTGGTTTCTGTCACATTCCACTAACGGAAAACCGCTCTGTAATCAAAACGGAAGATTCAACTGGTTCGAAAAAAAAAACAAAAAAACTGATTCCTTCGAAGGAACTATATTTCGTATACAGGTGACCTACTCTTATACATATAACAATTCCTGCGCTTGTCCACAGTGACGAGTTTGTAGGAAATTCAACAAAAATTTGCTGAGTTCTGAATTTAGGGAGTAGGGGTTGATTAGTTTCCGTTTCACAGGTTCCATAAGAGAGAAATCAAATTCATCTGTCCTTTCCCTTCTTTCCATGAGTCCACATCTGAGAGTAACAAGGGGTCGTCTGCGCGAGCGGCGGTGGATGCGAGTGTCCATACGAAAGACACACAGGAAGTATGTGTAAAACTAGGTCATCCCATTCAAAAGTGCCGCGACATATAGAGGAATGGCAGGAAAGCAAAGGGGATAGAGCAGCGGGCTGATATACCATATGGAGGATAGTACCTTTAACTGTGTATCTCTGAAATTTGGCGAACCTACCCACGGAAGAAGTTCTCGAGAAATTGAAAAGAAGCCCGAGTGGTGAAAATCAGCGCCCGATCTTTTCCAAATCAAGAACGTCATAAGAGCGACCTGCCAGTCTCGACCGAACGCTTCGAGCAGTAATTGTGGTTGAAATGGTGTTCCTTCGAACACACAGGTGGAGAAGGTTTGGTTCAGGAGCCCAAAAGGAACGAAAAACGCCGGAAGAATCTGGGTTTGTCAGTGGATGCTCCTTATAATGTTCAGTCCTGACCCCAAGAAAAAAGGCGGATGAAGTCAAGCGCTGAATGTCTGATTCCAGAGCCTGAACCTTTGCCGAGTTTCCCTGTCAGACTGACATCCCTGCTGCAACTGCTGCCCGAGTTATGTCCGATCAACTGATGATGGTCAAGAGGGTGTGCGCATAGGTACCTAATTTTCTTATAAAAGCACGAACGCTGTACCGATTCTATACCTCTGAGCAGAATGTTCTCGGCATGATGATGTCCAGTTCACGACTCGTGAAAAATGCACCCGGCCCTGATGAAATATGGTGCGTCTTGGGACTCGGACGCGTAAAAAACTCCAATCATCAAATTCAATTTTTGTATGAATGCAGATGAGAAGCCGCCCGAGTTCTACCATGAGGGGTTACGTGGGCGCAAGTGGATGACCATTATAGCGAAGGATTCCTACACTGTGGCTTTCAGGCGGCTCTATACAGAGAATATCGTCGTGTCGGTGCATCCTGATCCTCGGCGACCAGATCGACAAATGGATGACACCATACAACTACAAGGAGGCCACCGTTGCTCGTCGTAGTCCCAGACCTCTAGTACTCCTTATCCCTGAGCCAGAGTAGGCGTGGCATTTGAACATGGCACGGAATTGGTTACTCGTGGGATTTTAATCTGAGACAATCGCCATTTTGTTCCTTGTTGGACGGGAACGTAACCACATTTGGGTCAAAATGAAAACACCTCTCCAAAAGCATAACCACCACGACGCTCAGTTGAAGCACGCAGCCACGCCTACCTCATCTCAGGGATTTCGAGTGTAGCTGTATTAGCAGTGCTAGGACACAAACAATGCTGAGACCTGGGTTCAATCGCCCCATTCGCCCAACATAGGATCGTTCGATCCTAACTGCTCTGGTCAGTCAAGGGTACTCTCCGACGGCAAACGCTTCAACGTTTTGTCATTCGCCGAAATTGGCAGCAACAGCAATTTATTCCTACTGAAAAACCGAGGGTACCAGAGGTCCCAACGCCCTGGGAGCGAGTCATGAGTGAAGGAGGATCTACTTAACTCGAGGCCAACATATTACTTTTCTATCTGTTTTTCTCTTCGTTTGATCATGGATATAAGATCCTGCGGCATTTTTGAATGGGATGAACTAATAGGAGAGTCAGCACAGGAATACGCGATCATCTCATGCTCTCTCTCTCTTTCTGTCTCTGGCTGAAGTCCAGGAGGGAACGAATATTCGGCACAGTTCGCGGGCGTGTGGAGTGGCGGCATCCGTTGACCTTTCGCTCCCTTCACGAGCCACATCAGTACAGATCTGTGAAATCTTGTGAAGCCATGAAGTGGTACTAGTCGAAATTTCTAGAGGTCAATTGTCAGCTCTTGTAAAGCCATGAACACGTCGATGATATGTACTAAAGTATGAAGTGCATCTCCACCCCCCCAACCCCCAACGCAAAGCCGAACCGTACGGAATCATTCTTGAGTTCCCTGAAGGGAAAAATCGTATTATACAGAATCTCTCCGTGATATTGTATTTTTGAATTCTTTTTCGTTTTAAATTTCTGGTCAGTATCAGGTTCACGATCCCTCTCTGGCATGGGGAAGCAATCGAGGATCCCGCTACGAGCCTTCGGAACCGGTTTGAGTTGAAAAGCATTTGGTGAGATGTAGAGGACTAAGAAAGGCTGATGGAATGTCGATGGCCGAGTGTTGGGGCGAAGGCGTGTCAGCCAGCCTTCGTAGCGTCGCGAATGACTCATGGGGTTTTTTTTACGAAAGCAATCCAAAGAACGAACGCTCGGGCCAGCGCCCGGGGGGACGCCGGTGTACGTGCGACGCGGGGTTCAGCCCATGGCGCGAGTGGAGTCGATCGCGTTACCGCTCTCGTGGTCGGGGATGCAAGATGGCGCTTGCTGTTTCGTTTGTTGACTTTCCTTCAAAGGCAGCCAGACTTCCAACAGGAAATGAAAACGTTACTGAAGAAAAACCCGATAGGGAATTATTCAACCACTTATCCCAACATATAATTCGTATAACTTAAAGGCACATTCCGCGATAAAATAAGGCTATGACCTCTCAAATGTGTCGGACGATCCGGAAGGCGATTTTTGAGGCTGCGCTACTTTCAAAATGTGAAAAACGGCAAGAACTCCGCTAGAAGCTGACTAATTAGGCCCATGGACACCCCTTAGGCCCATGCCGACCCTCACCGGCTGCTAGCTACTAGCTAGTAGCCACTATGTTATCTTTCTCTATAACATTTCGGACTGCTTTTTTTCTGCTGCTTATTCTCCGTATAACTCAGATATGGCACTTTTTCATTGCCTATTTTGAGTTCGTTTTCCCGCCAATTTGCGGTCGCGAACTGTGCCTTTAACGACAGCACTTTTTTGAGAGGTCGTTCGCAATTCGGCAACGAGGAGGGGGGACATTTCGCACCTCCTTTGGCTTCACTAGTTCCGGTTTACAAGTCTTACTCTGGTGAATTCTGTGAACTCTTGTGAACCTGAAGCAAGCTCGTCAAGCCATCATGGCGGAACCTGTCAACCCAAAAAAAGGCTGTCTAGATGGGTCGACAAGTAGCAGAAGTG